TTTGCTGGCAGGACTTGTGTCCTCGTTGGGGACCCGCGCTGGATCAGTCCCTTCCTGAAGGACTGAAGACCATGGAAAGGACCCATGCTAAAGCAGTTTGTGAAGAACTGTCAGTCATGAGGTGGACTCACGTTGAAGAACCTGGTGAAGGACTGTTTCCTGTGAGAGGGACCCCACGCTGGTGCAGGGGAAGGAGTCCTCCCCCTGAGGAGGAAGAAGCGGCAGAAACAACATGTGATGAACTGACCTCAACCCCCATCCCCTGTCCCTCTTGTGCCTCTGGGGGGAGGACGTGGAAAATCAGGAAAGAAATTAAGCCCAGGAAGAAGGGAGGGGTGGGGGAGGTGTTTTAAGATTTGGTTTTACTTCTCATTATCCTCTGATTTGATTGGTAATAAATTACATTTGTTTTTTTCTCCCAAGTCGAGTTGGTTTTCCCCGTGCCATTAATTGGTGAGTGACCTCTCTCTCTGTTTATCTCCATCCATGAGCCTTTCATTATATTTTTTACCCCCTCCCCAGCTGAGGAGGGGGAGTGACAGAGTGGGCTTTGGTGGGCATCTGGCATCTAGCCAGGGTCAACCCACCACAGCCTATCAGCTCCCAGTCTTCAAACACAAACTATTTGGCAGGCTACACACCTTACATAGTGCGCAGTGGCCTTTGGCATACATCTGCATAACAAAACCGTCACACACCACAAGCATAAGTAACACCTCTAAGACAGATTTACTGAGAAAAAAATTACATGAAGGGTGAGGTTAGATACCCAGAATATTTGGTGATCAGCAAAGCCAGTCCAGTAAGCTTTCAGCACTGACTGATACACCATTTTTATGATTTTTGGTGGTGGCGGGCTTTTTTATTTGTTTTTGGGTGTGTTGGTGGTTTTTTGTTGTTGCTTGTGGGTTTTGTTTGGTTGGTTTTTGTTTGTTTGGTTTTGTAAATAAATAAGAGGTTCCATCTTTCCCTGGAATTTACTGTTAATGCCTCAGAACCTTCCCTTCCATGCTCTGCTGCACAAATTAAGAATGTTCTTAGATAAGGAGGAAAATGGTATGTTAAGGCATATTCTGATGGAAAAAGAAATCTTACGATGATTGCATGGTTCACAGCATTCATTCACCAAGCAGGTTGATCACTATACTGTCTCTTTGTCCTTATTTGACCCTACCATAACTGAAGTAAGTAGAAGTGCTTAAAACAGAAAATCCTTTCTTAGTGTTACTAACAGAAATTTAATTTAAGAACTGAAGACTCATCTAAAAAAATCTGAGAGATTCAAGATGTTTTGAAAGGAAAAAGTGTGGATACAGATATAATTATTAATACAATGTAATATGATTTGGTATCAAGGTGTGGAGTACACAGTGTTTCTAAACCTATAAAATATAGAGTATAAGTGTGTGTGTGTGTATATATATCTTTTAAATATATACATTTATATAAAAATATATACTTATATATATATAAAACCATATATATAGTTATAAGTAAAACATAACATGTGCTTTGAATCTGAAACACCACCTGCCCAGGCTAATAAAGTTTAAAAGCCATTAAGCAGTATTCCAAATCAGTTAGTATTGAAAATAATTAATTTTGTGTTTTTAACTTAAACTATATTTAACTTTTATTTTTCTGGAGTTCAACAGATTAATGGATACAAATTTATAGCACTAGCTTTACAACTTAAGCAAAAGAAGTCACAAAATAACAAAAACTGCATCTGGATTACCCAGTTCACAGACATTTAAAGTGGAGTTTTTTTGTTTTAAATGCTCAAGTATTGGATTCCATTAACACATCATATCCTGGCTTCAGATAATAGCACAAATTTAGAATGTTCAAGTGTTACACAACCAAAAACCAAACTCTGTAACTTCAAACCAGCAAAAGAACACATAACTGTCATTGTAGCAAAAATAATAAAAAAGAATCAGCTTTACCTGCTGTTCAGCAGTGAGCGATGTTCTGAAGTTCTGCATTTCTTCATTCTTTCTTTTCTCTTGCTCTTCAAGTTGCTCTAAGAACTTCATTTTTTCTTCCTGAAGCTTCTCTTGAAGTTCAGCAACCAAGCTTGATTCAGCAGATGATTCAGTGGGAGGACTTAAAAGAAAATGTTTAGGCTTTACATTTGCAGCATAGAGAGAGTCACAGAATACATGAAATAATTTTCATGCTGGATTAAATTTAAATTTATTTCTAAATTAAGCCTAGCTGTGAGTGAGAACGTGTGCTCTACAGAGACACTACACTACTGATGGTGGTCTGATAGAAGTGGCTGTATGATACCAAGGATAGAAAACACCAGAGCTGTAAGTCAGTTTTCAAAGAAGTCAGGATTCCTATTCTATTTTTAACTTTCTGTAGAAAGTTATAAATCTTTTAACTAACCATCAAACAGTTTAACAACAGAAGTCATTACAGAAACTATATTTTTCACTTTATCTTGGTCAGTACATACTACATACAGAAGATTAAATAGGAGTTATAAATGCTTTGCGGTTTTATTATCCTTCCTAATCAGGATTACTTGAATTTCAAGCACATTATAACCAAAATACAGTCATTTTCATATGTTGGTAATGCATGGGCCACAAATGTTTCTTTGTCACTTCTAAATATCTTTGTTAAGTTTTCACATAAGTTCAAAAACTAAATTCCTGATACTAGTGCAACAGTCGGGTCAAATTTAGCAATTCATCTCCTTGTCCGTGCCTTCCGAACAGCTAACGTAACGCGGCTCTCGCTGAGAAGGACACTCACCTGACAAGCATAACAGCTACACACAAAATACAAGTTGGTTTCTACCATAACAAGTTAACTGCTAAACAACAACTGAGTGAGGATAACAAGTCAACTCAAATTACTGACATAGCTTGGGGTTTTAAGAACACAAAAAGCAAACAGCTAGACAGCAGCTTCGAAACATTAAGACAGATTCACAGAACATATATGCCCTCTGGAGATAAAACACAGCATGGTTTTATTCCTAGAGGAAAAAAAAAAAAAGCTATCAGCAGATTAAAGGCATAAAGAGGAGCCTTCGGAGACAATATATATTTTACTGTCACACTGAAAATTCCATTTCTTGATAGAACTCCTAACAAACTACTATTTCTTTTAGACTGAAGCAGATAATATTTATTTGAAATACATTACTATCTGTTTTACCCAGTTTGTACAAGAACACACACAGGTGTGCTCATAAGTTTGATGTTTTGTTTTACATGTTTTTCCTGTTGAGTGAAGGCTTTATAAAACTTCTACAGTGCATTAATACATACAAAAGGAAAAGAACAGAGTTTCTTTTTTTTTCTCCTAATTTCACCATATTTTGTTCAATTAAAAAGGACAGTTCTTAATTTCATTATATCCCAATTTTAATTTGAAAAAGTTATAATTGATGTATTTTTTGGTACACTGACATAACAAAACAAGGCACTGATACAACATCATTTAATGATGATATCTTTACATATAAAAATCTTAAGGTAATGGGACTGAAGTGGATAATTCAAATGAAGCAGGTTTTCAGATTTCCCTTGCACTATGTAAGTGAATTGTGCACACATGTTGGGACTCCCTGCATAAACTCCACTTTAAAAAAAAAAATAAAAATACATTGATATTTGAAAGTTAAATGCTAACTTAAATCTGTATTCATGTTCTTCAGTACTTTTCTGGCTTTTATGACCATGCTGTCCATTTTATTGGGTTTTTTGGGGTTTTTTTTTTCCCCATTTCATATACTTGGTATATCATAATACTTAGAAAAAAAATGCCCTATTTAGTTATTGTACAAACAAGACCTATCCACTGCGTTCCTTCACACTACAAGAACATAGATGACAAATCCTATGATTTCAAAATAGAATATTCTTTCTAAGCAGTAGTCACATAGAAAAAATCTAGTCTTTCCATTCCACATCATAATCTACCCTGCTGACAGGCACTCTGAACTAGGTAAGTAGATACGAGAAGTCAGAAAGAGTAATTCTAGGCATTTATAGCAAGGGAGAATATATTTTTCTTTTTAAAATGGAAAAACACTGCAGAAATTAACAATGAAAAACAATGCTGTTGGGATGTTCTTTAAAATCCCCATGTGAGTTTCATTATAAAGCTCAAACTGAAGACCCTGAAATACATAACCATGGCAGTTAAAGTCAATGAAGTCCAGGTGGCCATGGGACAGTTCTCAGTCGATCATATATAGTCCCACACACTTATTCATGCACCATTAGCACCAACAAGAGTGTATAGTTAGCCAATAAAAAAGTTCCCAGCCTAAAAGCTAGTCACTGCATGCTCACTCAGTGCTAATACCAGAGCAAAGTACAGCAAAGGAGAGAAAGGTTGAGACCAAAAAAATCAGAATTTCAAGTAATATGCTATTGTGGAAACACTCCTTCAATGTAACATTACAACACCGAAATACAAAACCTTCATTGCTGTCTGGAAATAACATTGTGTAAGATATTTTACAATCTTTGAAATTAACTACAGACACAGGAATAACACTACCTATAAAATGGAAGTAACTTGAATATAGAAACCAACCCAAATAAACACTATTACAAATACAAATAAATTTGACTTCAGCATAATGCATCGTGAATTTACCATATTAATTACTTTAAAACACTAGGAAAACACAGCAACTTAATTCTTACAGTACCTCTGGTTTACTTGCATCTCAAGCTGTTGTATTTTTTCCAAAAGCCCTTTTTCAGCAGCTTCTCTCTGTAATTCAAACTCTTTACAAGCAGTTTGTACTGCATCCTCTTTTTCACAATTGAGCTTCTGAATGAGCAACTGCCTGTCTTGTTCTTGGGTAGATACTAACAGTTCTTTCTCTTCCTTAAGCTTGTGGATAATAGCTTCATATTTTTCCTGCTGCTCACAGAGAGCTAATTTTTCTGTTTTTTCCTTTTCTAGGGCAATCACTTCCAACTCTAACTTACTTTGTATTTCTGTTATTTGCTCTGAAAGTCTTTTTTCTGCCTCAGAAGTTTTTTGATGAAGAAGTGTTACTTTGTTTAGTTCAGTTCTAAGCAAATTTGATTCTTCTTCATATCTGTCTACTAGCTCAGAAATGCACTGATCTTTCTCAATTGTCATCAAAGTCCTTAGTTCTGATAAGCCCACTTGATACTCTTCACTGTTAATTTGTATTTTACTGTTTAATTTATCTATCTCCTTTTTTAAACTTTCAGTTTCCTTATCAATCTGAGATTTTAAGGTCTCTTGTTGCTGGTTTCTGCTTTCTTCCAAAAGTAGCTTAATTTCATCAGTTTCTGCCTCTTTCAGGGCAAGTTCAACTTCCAATTTGCACCTCAAATCAGACAGATCTGAAACCTTGAGTTGCAATTCTTCCACTTGCTGTTGTTTCTCCTGTATAACTACTGCATGAGATTCCTGCATTTGTTCAAGTCTATGCTGGTTCTCTTTCTTTAATTGATCTAAACAGTCCTTGTGCTCAGCTAGAACTTTCTCAAATTCCTGTAAATGCCTGGCTTGAAGGTTGTTTTCCAGTTCTTTTAAATGGCTTTGCTCTAAACTCTCAAGTTCTGCCCTCAGGAGTTGTAGTTTTTCATTGTTTTCAACATGAAGTTTTTTCAAGTCTTCAAGTACTATCTCCCGTGACTGTCTCAGTTCCTTAATTTCACAATTTTGTGTCTCCATTTGGCATTCCAATTCAAGTAATTTCTGGTCTTTTTCATTCTGAAGGCAAACTACAGCTTCTTTCTCATTTTTCACCATTGTAAATTCATCATTCTTATTCTGAAGAACTTCCTCAAGGCCTAATAAGTCACCTTTTAACTTTTTAATCTTCTTTTTATTTTCTTCACCATCCTCCAATAACTTATTAATTTTAGTTTCATATTCACTTTTCAAAGACTGTAATTCCTTTTGATGTTTATCTTTTAGTGTTTTTTCAAGTGAAAGTTTTACCTTCTCAATAGTATTTACTATTTCTAATGAAGTGCATTTTAAAGAATTAGAAAAGTCACACTGTTCTCTTTGTACAAGTGTTCTAAAGTGGCAAAGATCTTCTTTTATACCTCTTAAATGTACCTTTGAGTCTTGGGCAATAACCCTACACTTCTCCATGCAAACACTGAGAGATGCATTTTCCACTGAAACGCCCTTTACACAAGAATTTGTATCTTGCATACGTCTACTGTCTATTGCATTGATAACCGAAGAATAAAGAGATTCCACCATCATCTCTGGACTCTGTGGATCACTTATTACATTAGGAGATACTGGGTTTTCTTCTATTACAAATTCATTTACTGCTGACATAAAGTCAGATTCTGGACTTTCTGCTAATGAATCCAAGTCTAATGATCCTTGCTTAAGAGCTTGCTCCAAGTTCGGATGGGCAATAGTTTCAAAATCAAATGTATGAGCATCAATGCTGTCTGGTGACAATTCTTCTAGTGGAGCTGGGGGACACACAGGAGGACACAGGGGACCCTGAAGACTGAGTGATGGAGGAGTTCTTGAAGAGGTAGCAAGTGCGGTTCCTGTTGTACTTTCCATCCTTGGTGTGGTAGCAGATTGTGGTGATGCTTGACTATTGGAGGCCTACAAGTTATAAAATATGAAACAAACACTTAACAAAGCAATAGGCAAAACTGTTAATATTTTAAATTGGTTAAAAATTACCAGGCAAAAGAACAACTTAAAAAGTCGGCTGCCTTATCCATAACAGTCCAAAATACGTACAACTAAAATTTTAAAATTACAGAAACTCAGAGAGATTTTCAGTAAGTTTTTAAAAAGCACCATTTGTAAATACTTAAATATTAAATGTCCAAAAGTCCTATATAGATCACATATAATTGTATTTTAAAGGGCTCAAACAGAAGTTTGGATGATACAAAAAACTGAAGCAACCAGTCAGAAATAGGCTTTGTTTTCTAAGAGCCTATTAATTCCAGTTTTCCTAATATTTTTTTTAACAAAATATTTTCATTTTATTGTTGCTAACACTGCCATTAAAAAAGAAAATCAGTGTAGTCCAGTCACTATTAATATATTAAACTAAGGTGGTTTACAAAAAGCTTTACTACAACAAAACTTCTGTCTACCAACATAAAAACATGTATGAGAATTGCTCTGCTTGTCAGGGTGTAGAAGTAGTACAGTATAATGAAGGGCATGTTCTAATTAAAAGCAACATTCTGACTTTTCAGAATGCAAGACATGACAGCTTGAGTGGATTTTTCCCCCCTCCTCCATGCTGCTCCCATGGCTCCCAATTTTTGTCATTTTGCCTCTAGAGATTGTATACTGCCAAACCTGATTCTGCAACACCAGATCCTTCAACAGTCAGCTGAAAAGCTAGTGGTTAGAATAGCCACCCATAATCACATATGAGTAACAGCAGCCTGTAAACCAATACATAGATTAAGTAAAGCTTCTCCACCTTCACAGAACTATTCTCAAGTAATTCTGATCAATTCCAGTGCTTCTGATTTTTAAAAGGCTAAAAACTAACCTTCAAATAAATTTTCCAATTAACTGTAATTAGATAACATGTTTAAATCTCATTATCATCAGTTCCGGTTCATTACTATATGAATTATAAAGCAAGATCTCAAGTTCCAGTGCATACTCTGCTGTGAAGTGCAAATTCATGCACAGTGTTTGAAAACCGATCTTTGTTATTTCAAAGACATCATACTTTTCTATACTGCCATGGAATATATACTTTAAGAGAATTCAGCTTAAGTTTGATTTATCATAACTATAATAGTTGTAACTGCAGGCCAATTTGCATAGACTTATTTCCATGCACCTGCAATTCAGTAAAGCACCATTTTGAAGTGCATTAAAAAACAAACAAACAACCCCCCCCCCAAAAAAAAAAAAAAAAAAACAAAAAAAAAAATCCCACAACCTCAGCCAGGCCTTAGAGCCTGTGTTTTGTGATCGTCAAGCTTTTCAAATGTGACTAAAACTCAATTTAACTTACAGTATGATGTATCTACAAGATTAAACTTCAATTACAGATTTTCTTATCTTTGCTGTTTAATAGATTTAACATAATAAACTTACTGCTTGCAAGCTTTGTTTGACAGAATAAGTGTGTACTGAAGTCCTCTACTATCTTCACATGTACCAGAACTAGGAACAAATGGTCAACCTGTAGTATCTTATTAACTATTAAATATAAAAGGGAATATAAAAGCCCTAGTGCCAACAATAATATCAACTGCAGATTCTTAGAACAAAAATATAAACCTTAAGCTTCAGCAAGTGCAGAACAGATCCCCGTGGAAGCCAAAACACAACATATAGTCTCAGTATCCACTGAGGATGCATTCCAGAGCAAGTTTGTAATAGGATGGATAGTGAAGCAATTTTTCGTAAGAAAATTACAGTGAAATACACACAGTGAAATATGTAAGGAGAGTATCTGTGGCACATTGGATGAAGAGGCATGAGGAAGATCATCAGGATCACAAACGGGAAGGGACGTTGAGTTTTCTGAATGGACCAGTGTTCTGAAAGATCTCAGATGCACTGCCTGTAACACCACAGCCCAACAATTACCTTGCTTTTCTGTCCTTCGTCCTTTAAGGACTTGTTTGATCTTATTCATCTGAAGCATGTGACCATCCTGAAAAACTTCTCTAAAAGCCATCACTGCCTCCAGCTGATAAACCTGCTTGTGCCTTGTTTCCAAACTATCCACATTGTCTCCATGCATTGTAATTGGGTGTCTGGTGTTCTTCAGTACATTAGTTTTTATTGGAGAAATTTTTGCTATCCACTGAACTCAGCTGCTTGACTGGTGACAGTTAGTGAAGCTGGGCAATAAATGGTTAGCAACAGAACTCAAAAAAACCCCAAACTAAACCAAAAAACCCTAACAAAACAAAACCTGACAGAAATGACAGATAGATTTGTCATTTTTTTACAAATGGCTGCTACCCAAAAAGGGACCCTATTCTTCTCTCTACCATGTAAGTGTTCTCTTAATGGAGATGAAGTGTGACTAACTAAATTTTGGACTGAGATTTAGGAAGAGTCTATTTCCAGCTCTGACACTCATCTGTTTAGCAGAGCCAAATTTATATCTCACCTCCATTAGCCTTTGTATCTATATGAAAGTAAGTCATACAATGATTTTGAAGTCAAATCATGAAAACCCACTATAAAAAACCCATGTTAATTATATACAAAATATTGTCTTTATCAAAAATGAACACAGGACATGAGACAAAAAAACTAAAAGGGAAATGTTCCTTTTGTTAAAGGTACTATTAGTCCATGTTTAAGCATTTCCCTCCAGTTTAATTTCAGCTTACTGTTCAACTAAGAAAACTTATAAAAAGAAATGTCAAAGGATACTGTACATGCTGCTACATGCCTGGATTCAAACTAAGCATATGCTTTAAGTGACAAACATTTAACATTGATAAAGCACAGCTTTAACAGTGATAAAAGCTAGCATTACAGATGTCAGTAAGCACATACTAAAACAGCACTTCAAAGACTTCAAATATTAAAAGGCCAAACAGAAAGCCACATGCAAAGGAAAGATGGTATCTACTTTTGGCACCCCTGCACAATCTTAGAAGGTAAAGAGTAAGGATATAGCATGAAGAAGAAAACAAAAAGAATAACCCCACACTGTGTGAAGCAACACTGTACTGAGCTTTGTTTCTTCATAACCTGGGGCTGTAACAAATTCCATCCCTCCACAGCAGCTGGTATGAGCTGGGTCTCTAGTTAAGAGTACCAGATTACTGCCTAGTGAAGAGTTAAACCTCACATTTTGAGTAGGTGAAATTATAGGGAAGACTTTGCTTACTGTTGCCTATTTCACTGAGAAGCTGGTGCCTGCCATCTAGTCTATTTACAATCTACGGGCAACAACGTATGCATATGTTATACATTGTAATTACTGTGATGACAAAGGAAAAGGAGTCGAGCAAACAAGGAAAAACAGAAAGCAGAAACAGAGAAGCAGAGTTAATTTTTAAGTTATCAGGTGTTGCTGGATTACATGCCTTGTTCTAGTTACGTTACTTTGATAAACATAGTCAGCAAATGGGGCAATTCATTGAAGGACTCCAAACAGTGTTTGAATTTTGAACTCAACTAGAACAAACGGTAGGCTGATAATCTGATTTGAAAAGGCAGCTTCTCTTACAAGAGAAACTTTTAATACCACAGGATTGCATGTGTTAATCACCTACTAACTGTGGAAAAGACACCTTAACCATCTTACCTGACTCCTACAGGCACCTTAACTTTCTCCTGGACATCTTTAACCCAATCCCTGCCCTATTTAAATTTTGTCTGTATTATGGAAATGAAAGGGCACAGCAATATCTTTGGAGTGAGACCATTAAATCACAAAGAATAAGCAGAAGGCTTTAAAAATAACCAGACAGCTTTAAAAAGGAAAACATTTCAAAGTAATAACAAATTGAACAAAAATCCACAATGTTCTTTAACTATTCTGTTGTAATACTAAAAAAAAAAAAAAGAAATCAGATATCAGATAGAGAAGCATATAATAATTCATCTTGTGTGAAGTTGAAAGCTGAAATACTAAGAGTTACTGGGACATTTAAAAAGTAGCACTAACATTTCCAGTTAGGCATTTGATCTCCTCTCTGACTTGTTCTTTGCTCACTTGTCTGCAGCCACAGACACAGTTTTTCTCTCCTGCCTAAAGCAACTATCAAAAGACCAGCTGCTGTGACTGATGCAGCATGATCTCCCGCCTGACCCAGACAGAACTAAACTGCTGAACTATCAACAAGCCAGGGAAACTATCCCTGTCCAACTTAAAGAACCAGGCTTCTGCTGCCACTTGGATGGAAAGGGAGGCTGGGGTTGAATGTATCTCTTTGCAAGTACAAGAGCAACATTCTGCTGTACTCTCTACATGGTTTCATGAAGGAGAAATCATGCTTGACCAAGCTGGTAGCCTTCTATGATGTTATCACTAGCTGGGTAGATGAGGGGAGAGCAGTGGATGTTGTCCACCTTGATTCTAGCAAGGCTTTTAATACTGTATCCCACAACATCCTTG